TAAAAAATCATTTTTCAAGTAATAATAATAATACTGAAAATATTGATCTTACAAATAATACAACTATTTTGGATAATAAAGAAGAAGAGAAAGATTATTTTGAAGAATTAGATAAGAATATTGATGAGATAATCAATCCTATTATACATCATCGAATTAATATTAATCAACCTATATCTACAGAAGGAATAATTAATCAGATTAAATCTATAATTTCACAAGCTTTAAACAAATATTAGAATGTACCTTCTGAAATTAGTCTTAAAGTTTCATATTTAGATCCGAGATTTAAAAATTTATTATTTACTACAAGAGAAGAGAAACTTAAAATTGAAGAAATTCTTTATAATGAATTGCAAGAGATGATTAAATCATCATCTCTAATAACTTTATCAGTTTCGCCAAATGAAAATTTAAATATTATAACCAATGGTAAATAAGTAATTAATTTATTTTTTAAAAAATAATAGCATATATTTAACCATTTAATTTTTTTATTAATTAGATGATTTAATTACAATACAAAAATCTCGATCGTGAAATATACTTTTTAAAAAAATTTTTTTAAATACAATTGCTAATGACAAAACAAATAATAAAATAATTAATTATAGTAATATAAAGTATACTGAATATAATACTAATCCAGGTGAATGGTAAAATGAACGAAAAATGGTTTTTCCAAATTTATTTGAATTAGCACGAAAATATCTTCCTATAACTGCTACATCTGTTCTAAGTGAATGCTTATTTTCAGATACAGGAAATCATATTTCAATCTGACGTATATGCCTTGACCCAAATTTACTTTATCACATGATTTTTTTGAAATAAAATATAAAAGTTTTAGATATATTTCTTCCAGAAGAAATCTGATTATAATAATTAGCAAAATATAATAGCTGAAATAAAAGTCAATATAATTTGTCATCATTGCTAATAATAAAAATAAGTTCAAAATATTTTTTTTTGTTTTAATTAATGAAATAATATAAATTAACAATTTAGTTCTTTAAACTAATCGGTTATTCAGATGATCTGAATAATTTGAATAATCATCATTAATCAACAATTAATTTGAATAATAATTGATTATAAATTTTATGAATGATTGATTAATTGATTACAAAATTTTTAACTGATTCGAACCTCTAGTTTATATGCTTTTAAAAGATTTTGTATGATGCAATGCTATTATTAGATAATGCATTTTATAAAATATTGCTAGTATACAAGTATATATGATAATTATCTGAAATTATTAAATAATATAATAAACTAATTACTAAATGATATGTTTTTATTCTCAGAAAAATCTTGCTATAATTATATGTTAATTTGTTTAAGCATTTATTACTCAACTATGCTTTTCTTATTGATAATAACATAATGTATTCCTTGTATTTTTCTTGTAACTACTTTAAATATTCATCATCTATTTCTAATCCTTTATTATATTATTATTAATTATCAAAATAAAGAATATTGAATGTATTATAATATCATTAATATTAAGGTTACTACTCTTATAAAAACTAATACAATTATTAGATTCTGTTCAATTATTACCATTGTTTAAAACCTCTCTTAAATCACCTTAATGTAATAAGATTTTTCTGTATTTACAGTTCCTATTATAATTATCCTTGATACTTTAATTTATTTATCTATAAGTATGTCATTATAATATAATTCAATTCATTTAAAACTAATTCTTATTTTTTATTTAAAGTTTAAAAATCTACTAAACCTTATTATTGTATCTATCATCATTTTTCTGATCTTTACCTATAGTATTTTGCATAAAGTTATTAGTTTCTTTAAGATTATTATTAGAATATTATTATCATCTTTTATTAATTCAATCATGATTTATATTTATATCACGAGTTTTCAAACATATTGAAGAATCTATGTTCATATTTAGTCTTATTTTTATAAGATATATTTAATTATACTAATATTCTTCTAGCTTATTATCTTCAAATAATTCTTTTAGATTATTATTATTAGTAGGCTCATTCTTTTCATTATTTACTAGTAACTGAAATAAGCTAATCAAATCAGTATTTATAATATCAATATATAGATTATATAATATTAACCAAGATATGAAATTACTTTCTTTTATTTATTATACAGTCACACCTCGATATAACAAAGTTGCTGATTTAACTGATTAGGACTTTATTATAAGAATCTTCGTTAATATTATAATAAATTATTCAGTATGTATAATGAATAATTTGTTATAGCATTAATGAATAATTCGTTATAGTGTTAACAAATTATTCATTATAGTAGATGATTACTGATTTCATTATACAAATATAATTTTGCTATGATATAATTTTTCTAGAAATATTTTCACGTTATTTTGTAAATTCTAATCATTTTATTTTAACATGCAATCTATTAATCATTATACGACAGTTTTATTAATTTATTTAAATTTTTTTTTAAAAAAAAATTTATTTTTTTTAAAATAAAATAAAAATAAAATAAAGTAAAAGAAAAAATAAAAAATAAAAAATAAAAATAAAATGAAAAGAAAACTAAACGAAATGAAAAACAAAATTAAGAAACTGAAACGAAACTATAAAATGAAATTAAGTGAATGAGACAAGATGAAAAAATGAAATTAAATAAATGAAAAGAAACTATAAAATGAAATTAGAAAAATGAAATGAAATGAAAAAATAAAAAGAAACTTTAAAATGAAATTAGAAAAATGAAACGAAATGAAAAAATGAAATTAGGAAAATAAAACAAAATAGGAAAACAAAATAAAACAAAAAAATGAAAAAGAAAAAATGAAATTAAATGTACGATACGAAAAAAAAATTGAAATTTTTATTGCCTTGCAGGCTTTACAGGCATATCACGATTTTACTATCTATTTTAGATTTACTTCACAGGCTTGTCACAGTTTTGTTTTGTATTTCGTATTTGCCTTGTAATAGGCAAATTACAATTTCTCTTACGAGTGTGTCTCAATTCTAAAAAGTAAATATATTTAATATAAATCTAAAAAATCATTTAAAAGTTTTAATTATTACCTAGCCTATCTCAGAATCGAATCCTGAAGGGTCATATAATCTTTTCATAGTATAGGTCTACCTCTTACCTCTTCTAATTCCATTTCGATAATCACAAAAATCTTAAAAGATATTAATTATTCTGTTAAGTTATATTTATCATTATATTATTATTTATTTATTTACTTACGTTGTAATCCTGTACTAAATTCTTCCATTTTAACTCGTATTAGCGAGTTGAATATGCTATACCAAATCTTTGATTAATTCGTCGAGCTACACTCTTTCAGAACCTCATCTTATTATCTCTGTATCTTACATAGTATTCTTCGTTTCTTTTCCTTTTTTTCTTGACTAATAAGTCAATTTTATTATCCTCTTAAATAATTCTTGTAGTTATTTTTGTGTTAGTAAAAAAATATGATTTAATAGAATAAATTAAAGTGATTTAAAGGTTGATTTAAATTTCAAAAGATGAAAATTATACAATGGTAAAAAATAATTCCTTTTATAAATAAATTTATCCATTGATTTGATATCTTATGAAATTTTTTACTCATAATTGAAATAATATAATCTTGATTGAAATTCTGATTTGTATTAAAACAAAAGTCAAAATAATAATATAAATATCATATTATAATTATGCATCATATTATTTATAAAAATTAGATCAATCTAAATATAATAAGCAAAACTCATAATTGAAATAATACAAAAAGAACTCTTCATGATCGAAAATTCTGATTTGTATAAAACAAAAAGTCATTATATTATTTATAAAAATTAAATCAATCTAAAAATAACTTACGTAAATTAATAAATATAATATATCAAACAAACAGAATAGATCAACAATAACAAATTATCACTTCAGTGATAAATAAAAAATCATTATAAAATTATTTACCACAATTTAATAAAAAAAATTAACAAGCAATTTCAACACAAGTTCAACAAAAATTGGTTAAAAATTAATAAAAAACAATGTGATTTCTCGATACAATTTCAACAAAATTTCAACAAAATTTTAACATGATCACAAGGGTGTTATTTAGTCAATACATCAAAATTTTTTGTAATTATGATATCATTTTATTCCGTAAAAAGTAAAAAAAAACTGTAAATATTATTACATAATCCCAAATTACTATTCTATTATATTAATAAATTTATCAAGATTAGTTTATTTTGAAGAGACAAACTGTTATTTTAAAGCTTCTTTTCTAAGCTTTTTAATAGACCTTAACTCTTTCTTTTTCATGTCAAAAGATTTTCTTGCTGCTTCAAATAAAAATTACTTTATCATAAGTAAAGCTTCGCATAAGCTAGCTTGACTTAGATTGTTACCGACTTGAGCTGAGCAACTTTTTTTCAGCTCGGCTTAGCTCAGATCATGAAGAGCAATTGACAAGCTAAGCCAAGCCAATCCAGCTTGCAAGCCAGCTTGTTTGGCTTGCATTTATATTTAAAAATGAAAAGCGAGAAATGTTTCTCATTAAAAGATGCGTTTTCAAAATGATTCCCTTTGAGAGAAATGTTTTTGTAACATTTTCCATTAAGGAATTTGCTTTCAGAATATTTTCTTTAAAAGAATTCACTTTTAAAGCAATTTCCTTAAAAGCTTCGCTTCTGAAGCATTTTCTTTGAAAGAATTCGCTTCCGGTGTGATTTCCTTAAAAACTTAGCTTCCAAAGCATTTTCCATTAAAGAATTTGCTTTCAGAATATTTTCTTTAAAATAATTCACTTCCAGAGTGATTTTCTTGAAGGACTTCGCTTTCAGAGCATTTTTCATTAAGGAATTCACTTCTAGAGCGTTTTCTTTAAAGAATTCACTTCTGGATGCATTTTTCTTCAAAGAAAAATGTTACTGAGGTTCATTTTTCTTTAAAGGAAACACCACTAGATTCATTTTCTTCAAAAAAAATATCATCAGTACCATTTTTCTTTAAAAAAACGTCACTGAGACTATTTTTCTTTAAGTAAATGCCATTGGAGTAGCTTTTTTCAAAGAAAAACTGCCTTTAGATTTATTTTCTTCAAAGAAGAAAATACAAGCCAATGAGCTGAGCTGCAACACAAGCTAAACTACAATATAAGCCAGCTTGTTTAGCTTATGACTCAATTTATAGTAGCTCGAGCTGAGCCTAATCAAGCTGGCTCATTTGGCTTGCAAGCGGCTCAGCTTATGTAGAGCTA